GGGGGTTAATTTAAAACTGGATCCTGCCACATCTTGTGCAGTGTGGGACCAACCCTCTGCCCCTCCGCTGTCTGGACAGAGAACATGGTGGGGGCAGTTAGGGTGGGGGGCGTCTCAGGAGGGGGCAGTCAGGGCGCAAGGAACAGGGAGGCTTAGATAGGGGGTGGGGTCCTGGGGGGCAGTCAGGGGCAGGGGTCCCAGGAGGGGGTAGTCAGGGGACAAGGAGGGGGGGGATGGGAGTTCTGAGGGGGGCAGTCAGGGGGCGGGAAGTGGGAGGGAGTGGATGGAGGTGGGGCTAGGGTGGGGCTCCCCCCATCCTCTCTTGATTGTTGAAATATGGTAACCCTAGATTTGATACTAAATTGTTTGTGGTCTTGTGTCTCCATACCACACAAAAAAAGGCCAATTTTTCAGTGGCATGCCCTCTTTTGCAGATAGTGTATGTTAGGAATGAGTTAGGGGTGAGGAGGAAAGACTCCTGTAGAAACACCCCACCACCACCACCACACACACACACACACACACACACACACACACACACACACACACACACACACACAGGCTGCACTTCAGTCATGCATTTACCTCTATTTTTTATTTAGTGTATACCTTACATGATGTCCTTATTAAAATTGATATTATAAAAGTAAATCCATCATGAAGTGATTCACATCTACAAATCTTTTTGCCATTAAACACTTCAAATATACCTTTAATCAACAGAGTATCACTACACCATTCTTAAAAAAATTATAAGCTTAAAAACAATGCACGTAGATTAAGAGCTTTAGTTTGCTTATGAGAGGAAGCAAATTCCTATACTATAATTGTGCTTGCATTGTCTGTTCACCCATTTTACAGCATTGACTAAAGTTAATTGAGGATCTAAGTGAAATCACAAGTAAATAGCTTAACATCACAAATTAGTTTAAAGAAATCAAGTTAAAAGGTAAAAGCATTTGTAAAAATATTCAGTCACGTGCCAATCTTGCAAACTTCTCTCCATAACTCCAATCTCCCTTTGACAAATTATAGTTATGGGAGAAATTAAGAGAGAACAAGGCAAAATGACCAAAGTTAACACTTCAAACTAGAGTACTAAAATTAGTAATGACAAAATTCATTTTTCCCAAAGCTGCCTCAAACCAAAGAAAGTTCATACTATCTGTCAAATTTACTAATTTTTTATTAATGTTTATACACTGTACCAAATTTGAAAAGGCCATGCTTTTGCATGGACACAACTTTAGATAAGACTATAGTTAGAATTCAAGGATTTGATTTTTGTTGACAAGCATCCATTATACCATATATGCACAAATTGATGATTAAATATCTCCATCGATAACTGAAATGCAGAGATGGAGAAAGTAAGAAAGACACTGCTTGAAAACTTATTAGAATTTGATTTAAGGCTATTTACTTTGGGGAAAGTAGGAACCTATACAAGAAGGATGGACTCCACCTAAACCAAAATGGAAACAGATGGCTTGTATGTAAAATTTAAAAGGTTGCAGAGGATCTAAGGGCTGGTGGAAAGCAGAAAGGTGAGTAGGAAGCACACGATTTGGGAGAAGACATCCCTTAGGGATGAGTTAATTATAGACTAGTGAAGAAGTTAGGAAAGACGTTCATAAACTACAGGTAGGAGCTAGTGAGAAACAGTCAAACGTAAAAGAGTCCCATTTAAATAGTACATATAAAGGCAAGCAACTGAACATTGACAAAATACAACTGCCACAAGTCTAAATACTAAGAGGGTAAACTAGAGTGCCTGGCATTAAATGAGGATATTGATATAACAGGCATCAAGGAAACTTGGTAGAATGAGGATAATCAATGGGACGCACTAATACCAGAGTACAAAATATACAGGAATTAGAGGAGGTTGTGCCGGTGGGGTGAGCGACACTACATGTGAAAGAAGGCAGAGTCAAAGTAAAAATCTTAAATGAATCAAACTGTACCATAGAATCTATGGATGGAAATTCCATGCTTGAACAATAAGAGTATAGCAGTAGAAATATATTACCAAGCACCTGACCAGGGTGGTGATTGTGAAATGCTCAGGGAGACTAGAGAGACTACAAAGGCTGAAAATGCAATAATAATGGGGGATTTCAACTATCCTCATAGTGACTTGGTATGTGTCACCTCAAGAATGGATGCAGAGATAAAGTTTTTAGACTGCTTCTTAGAGCAGCTTGTCCTGGAACTCACAAGGGCAGAGGCAATTCTTGATTAAGTCCTAATGGAATGCAGGATCTGGTACGTTTACATCTTGTAAGTGAACTGTTCAGTAATAGCCATCATAACATAATACATTTAACATCCTTGTAGGGGGTAAAATGGCAAAAACACACAAAAAAACCCCATCATAGTAGCACTTAACTTCAAAAGGGGAACTAGGCAAAAGTGAGGAAGCTAGTTAAACAGACATTAAAAGGAACAGTCACAGGGGTGAAAAGCCTGCAAACTGCCTGGAGACTATTTTAAAACACCATAATACAGACTCAAACTAAATGTAACCTCCCAACCAAAAACAGTAGAAAGACCAAAATACCTTACCACGGCTAAACAGCAGAGTAAAAAGGTGGTTAGAGGCAAAAAGGCATTCTTTTAAAAATTGAAATCAAATCCTAGTGAGGAAAATAGAAAGGAGCATAAACTCTGGCAAGTCAAGTGTAAAAGTATACTAAGGCAGGCCAAGGGAGAATCTGAATAGCAACTAGCTAAGGACACTAAAACTAAGAGAGCAAAAAACAACCCATGGGCATGGATCACTCAAAACTGATGTGCTCTGTTCATTTCCTCTGAAGCCTCACTAGTCACTGCCAGAAGACAGGATACTGAGATAGATGGACGATTAATATGACCCAGTATGACCGTTCTTATGTTCATGTGATGTTGACAAAGTTTTGTAACTGTTCAAACTTTCGAATCTCACCGTCACTAAATAATTATTGTCCAACCCTCCCCATTGTCTGCATGATTTCTTGCAACCTAGTCTAGCTACAGTTAATAGACACAAAGCCTAGCTACAGTTAATAGACACAAATTCCAAGACCAGAAGGGACCATTGATCATTTAGTCTGATCTCCTGTGTAACACAGGTCATAAATCTTCCTTGATATAATTCTTAGAGCATGTCTTTTAGAAAAAAAACAATCTTTATTTTAAAATTGTCTGTGATGGAGAATCCACAATGACCCTTAGTAAATTGTTCCAATGGTTAATTATTCTCACCATTAAAAAGTTGCACCTTATCTCCAGTCTGAATTTGTCTAACATCAACTTCAAGCCACTGGATCATGTTTACCTATCTCGGTTAGACTGAAGACCCCATTATTAAATATTTGTTCCCCATGCAGATATTTATACACTAATCAAGACACACCTTAGCTAGGGTTACCATATTTAAAAAAAATAAAAAAAAAAGAGGACACTCCATGGGGCCGGGGCCCTGGCCCCGCCCCTTTCCCACCCCCGGCCCCGCCCCAACTCCGCCCCTTCCCCAAAGTCCCCGCCCTAACTCCCCCTCCTCCCTCCCAGCCACGCAAAAAGGGCTGCCCGAGCACTACCGGCTTCACCGTTTGCCGGGCAGCCCCCAGACCCTGCGCCCCTGGCCAGCACTTCCCCAGCGCAGCTGGAGTCTGGGAGGGGAAGCGCCCAGCCGGGGGTGCAGGGTCTGGAGGCTGCCCGGCAAAACCGTGAAGCCGGTAGCGCTCGGGCTTCGGGCAGCCCCCATGCCTCCGGACCCTGCGCCCCCGGCTGGGCACTTCGCCTCCCAGGCTCCGGCTGCTCTGCTCCTTCCCTGACTCTTCGGCTCTGGTTAAGAGCCGAGCTG